AAACAGAAATGGCTAGTGTGGGAACCAGTGGTTTCCTAGTCCTGGATGGTGTATCAGAATCACCTGGGTAGATACTTTAAAATTAGGGTTGTCTTTTGATCTTGGGTGGCCCCCAAATGTTTCTTCTTCTTTCTTCTTTTTTTCTTTCTTCTTCCTCTCTTCTTCCTCCTTCCTCTCCTTTTTTTTTAAAAAAAAATATAAACTTTATAATATATATAAATATATATAAAAATATAAAGTTATTTTTATAAAAAATATAAACTTTGGATTTTAGAGCAGTTTTAGATTTACACCAAAATTGAGTGGAGAGACTGGACACAGTGTAATGCCAGCACCTTGGGAGACGGAGGCGGGTGGATCACTTGAGGTCAGGAGTTCAGGACCAGCCTGGCTAACAAGGTGAAACTGTCTCTCTGCTAAAAATACAAAAATTAGCCAGGCGTGGTGGCGCACATCTGTAATCCCATCTACTAGTGAGGCTGAGCCAGGAGAATGACTTGAACCTGGGAAGCAGAGGGTGCAGTGAGCCAAGATTGCGCCACTGGACTCCAGCCTGGGCAACAGAGCGAGACTCCGTCTGGGAAAAAAAAAAGTGATGGACGGAAGATACTAAGATTTCCCACATACACCCCTACCCCAACATATGCACAGCCTCCCCCCATTGTGCACATTCCACACCAGAGTGGCACATTTATTACAGTTGATGAACCTACGTTGACAGGTCATCATCACTCCATAAAGTCCATAGTTTACATGAGGGCTCACTTTTGTAATGAACTCAGTCTATGCGATTAGACATACATTCACTAGTATAGTATTATACAGAATAGTTTCACTGCCCTGCGAATCCTGTGCTCTGCCTACTTATATACCTATTTTTTTTGCTGTCTCCTTAGTTTTGCCTTTTCCGGAATGTCATATAGTTGGATCATACAGTATACACCCTTTTCAGGTTAGCTTCTTTAACTTTGTAATATGCGTTTAAGTTACCTCCATGTCTCTTCATGGCTTAATAGCTCATTTCTTTTTAGTGCTGAGTAATATTCCATTTTCTAAATGCAGTACAATTTATTAATCCATTCATCTGCAGAGGAAGGTCTTGGTTTCTTCCAAGTTTTGGCAATTATGAATAAAGTTGCTTTAAACACTTGTGTGTGGGTTTTTGTGTGGACATAAGTTTTCAACTCATTTAAGAAAATACTCAGGAGTGTGATTGCCAGATTATATGGTAAGAGTGTGTCTACTTTTGTTAGAAACTGCCAAACTGCCTTCCACAGTGACTGTACCATTTTGCATTCCCACTGGCAGTGCATGAGATATTCTGCTGCTGTACGTCCTTGCTAGCATTTGGTGTTGTCAGTGTTTTGGCCATTCTCAAAGGTATGTAATGGTATCAGATTGATGTTTTAATTTGCAGTATCCTAATGACATATGATCTTCTCAAATGCTTACTTGCCATCTGTATATCTTCTTTGGTTTTAAAAATTGAGTTACTTTCTAAGTTTTAAGAATTCTTTATATATTTTGGATAATAGTTCTTTATTAGATTTGTCCTTTGCAAATACTTTCTCCCAGTCTGTGGCTTGTTTTCTCATTCTCTTCTCTGAAGTCTTACTTATTTTTAGAGATAGGGTCTTGCTGTGTTGCCCAGGCTTGCCTCAAACTCCTGGGATCAAACAATCCTACCCCCTCAGCCTCGTGAGTAGCTGAGACCACAGATGCACTACTGCATCATACTTAAATCTATTTGTAAAAGCTCTTGAGTGACTCTGATTCTCTGCCTGATTTGTGATCCACTATTTTGAGCTTTCTCTTTCTTCCTTTGCAATGCTAGTGCCAGGCACAGCCATCAGTTCTCCATCACTCATACTTCATTTCATCTTTTTTGTCACAGCTGGTCCCATCCTGCTCTCAATTTCTCTGGTGTTGCTACTTGTTCTTCCATGTCTCTCCCTTCAAATTTCAACTCTTTATCTGTGTAATTTCATTATAGGTTTTCTTTAATTATCTGTTCATACTTAATCCGTAGGTCGTTTTGGTTCTGGTACCACCTGTAGAGCAGGGTTCCCTCCCATTTGCCTTGCTGGTGCAGAAAGTAGGTAATTGTGTTAGGCCATGAGATTAACAGTGTTACCCTGGGAGGGGTATTTCCACCATATTTCCCATGCTTGCTTGCTTTTTCAATTTTTTATAAGATGTTAATAATTTGTAAAATAAAGATCTTTTTTTCACTTAATGTGTAGTTTATGTGCCAACTTAACCATCTTTTTAAAAGCTTATTTTAATCTTCATAATCTTCATCTCATTCCTACCATTTTATTGTGTATGTTTGAGTAAATATCTGTTCACTTTCAACTACTTTTCTACAGAAATGTTAGAGGAAACATTTTTTGTTCATAGTGTAATCTGAGTAAGAAGACCTTGCAGTAGTGTATCTAAGGCATTCATTTTATTTCTTTTAGTCATGAGTTTGTGTGTGTGTGTGCATAATTGAAAAATAAACATAAAATTAGCTCTTAATTGCAGCTATTTTCTGCTAGTAAAATTCACTGTTATTGGTTGGTCAGGATAATTTTTTGAGGTATGATGCAAATAAGGCAGTTATTTATGACACAGTGTACTAGTAGATCACATTTTATTTTGCTGAAAGGCAGGTATAAATATAAATGACAAATATGTAAATACTTAATATATTTTATCATAAAATGTACAAATCAGTGATTTTAAAGAACTTGCCTTATTTTATAACGTTAACTTTTTATTTAATTGGTCAGTGTTTCATTCATTCAACAAATATGCAGGCACATTTTTGTGTTCCAAATTCAGGGTGATTTTAATGTAGTTAACATTTAACTTAATTTTATAATGTAGCAGTATGTAGAAGTTCATGTAAGTCCTTAAGAATAATTAATGGACTTGATAATCTGATGTTTCAAATACTTTTTTTTTTTTTGTATGTAGTATAGATTGCCTTTGCATTGTCATGATTTTAATTTAATTGCTACTCTTTAGTAAAAGAATACAAAGCTTGGTGTAAAATTTTGAAAATAAGCACGTTTTCAACTTGCTGGGTTTTTGTGGGGGAGATTTGCATCTGACAAGTGCTAGATTTAATGAGTTGAAACAAATGATACATTATTCATTTTGTATAAGTATTTCTATTAACTAACGATATAGTTAAAATTTTTGGAATAATTTCTGGATGATGTAACTTGAAGTCATGGAGCTTAGTCTTGTCAACAAAAGATTAAATATATGATAAAATTCTAAATTATGTGGTATAGGCCTAGTGATTTTTATACTGTACATTTAGTAGACTAGATGTATTGTCTCATCATTAAATCTAATAACCTCATTTTCCCCAATATGTAGGAAAAGATTCTGTTTTCCTAGTTTGAACTTGTTCTTCCACAGTGTGTTGTGTGTATTTTCTTTGGCACTTTTAGCCAGTTGTTCATATTAGATCTGATAACAGAATGGTGTTTTATTTATGTGTATTTATAATTGTTTCAGAGGTGTCTATATATCTCAACATACGTTAAGTAGTTGATGTTTCTCAGAAAGCACCATAACTTCAGCATTTTCCTAATCTGAAAAAGTGTAACCACTATTAGAAATTCTCTATGGTAAAGGATATTTGGAGATAAAATAGTATTGTTTAGGCTAGAGTTATTGAGAGTTTTTTGAGCTGGATTATGGAAGGTTGGATTTGAATAACTGTAGAAGTTGGCAGTATAGTCCCAAAGTGTTACAGGAACTTAGGGACAAACACACGACGACTTTGTGATAAAACGAGAACCAGAGTCTGGATTCTGTTTCTGAGTGAAATGGTCTTTCTACTGGGCAGCTAGCATAGCAGGAAGGAGTAGTGGTCAATAACATTTTATCAGGATGGTACTAAGCTTGTGGACTGTGGAAAGGAATTCTTGAAGTCTTGAGTAGTCTTTATCAGGGTTGGATTAGAAAGACATTTCAGACTCAAGGGAACTTTATGTGCAAAAGCAGATATCCTGAAAGTGCTGACGTTGGAGGTGAATCATGGCATTGGAGGGCAGGGATATGAAATAAATGGTATTATATATACCAAGCACTATTCTAGGTGTGGGATATACACATGGAAAAGACAGAAATCCTGCCACCATGGAGACATTTACATTTTAGTGGAAGAAACAATAAACAAATAAATTGTAATATTGTAGGTAATGATGAATACTATGACAGGAAACAAATTGTATGATGAAGAAGTAGAGCTAGGGGTTCTTTGAAATAATTGGTTGGGAAAGACCTCTCCAGAGACAAAATTTGAACAAAATAAAATGAGTGGGACGAGCCATGTGAATTGCAGCAGAAGGAATGGCAGAGCACAGTTGCTGTGTTTAGTAAAGAGGCCATTGTAGCTGAAGTGTGCTAAGTAGTTTATTATAGAGTGTTTACTGAGTACTAAGCACTGTTTTAAGTATATTACTAGTGTTAATTCAATTCTTAAAACAATCCTACAAGAAGAATGCTATTTCACATATAAGGAAACAGGCACAGAGATTAATTTATCCCAGGTCACCCAGTTTGTTAGGGAGCTGGGATTGGAGCCCAGGTAATTGACTCCAAAATCAGTGTTCTTAACCATTATTCAAAGTTGGGGAAGGGAAGGTGTAGTAGGAAATTTAGCAGTAGCATGGAGCCAGTCTTACAGGCCCTTGTAACTTACTATAAGAATATAGGATTTTACTCTGACAATGATGTTAAGTCATTGGAGGGTTGAGAAATACCTAGGAAGTTGATTTATGTTCTGGAGATCAGAAGAGAAGTTTGTACTATACATATACATTTGATACTCATCTGTGTATAGGTTATAGCTTAAAATATTTCTACTAGCCTATAACATTTCTTTGATTTAAAATTAAGGATTCCACTTCATTATTTTATTAAACAGATATGTGCATGCCTATATATATGAGTGTGTGGATGTGTGTGTGCAAACTAATGAACTCTTCTGTTACTAGGTGCGAGAAGATGTACTAAATTCATTGAATAACAACTTTCTTCAAACGCTAAATCAAGCTTGGAATGATCATCAAACAGCTATGGTGATGATTAGAGACATACTAATGTACATGGTAAGTAAAGCTTTTTTAATGTTTTCTTCCTTTAAGCAGTTAAGCATTTGAAGGCTGGGCCTGTAATCCCAGCACTTTGGGAAGCCAAGGTAGGCAGATCATTTAAGGTCAGGAGATTGAGACCAGCCTGGCCAGCCTGGCAAAACCGTGTCTCTACTAAAAATACAAAAATTAGGTGCAGTGGTGGGCACCTGTAATCCCAGCTACTTGGGAGGCTGAGGCAGGAGAATCGCTTGAACCGGGGAGGTGGAGGTTGCAGCGAGGTGAGATCGTGCCACTGCACTCCCACCTGGGCAACAGGGTGAGACTCTGTCTCAAAAAAAAAAGGAAATTAAACATTTGAAAACACAATGATTTTCTGTCTAACTTATAGTACATCTCAGTGTGGAAGGTGGTTTTTGTTTTTTAAATAGTACTTTCTTTGTAAGGGCCAGCCTAAGCCTATGTGAATAAAAATCTTAATTGTTCACATAGTTAGTGAATGCTTAGAATGTGAAACTGAAAGGGAATGATTTAATTTTTTTCTTAGTATTTAGCACTTGTCAGTGAAAAATGTGGAAAAAACCATATTAACATCTCAACAGTTGTTGAATGACAATATGAGAAACAAAAGCTGAATATTCTCTTACAAGTTTTTACATCCTAAATTTTTTTTTTTTTTTTGAGATGGAGCTCACTCTGTCACCCAGGCTGGAGGTGCAGTGGTGCTATCTCTGCTCACTGCAAGCTCCGCCTGCTGGGTTTACACCATTTTCCTGCCTCTGCCTCCCAAGTAGCTGGGACTACAGGCACCCACCACCACGCCCAGCTAATTTTTTTTGTATTTTTTAGTAGAGACAGGGTTTCACCGTGTTAGTCAGGACGGTCTCGATCTCCTGATCTCGTGATCTGTCCGCTTCAGCCTCCCAGAGTGCTGGGATTCAGGTGTGAGCCATTGCACCCAACCCAAATCCTAAATTCTTACATCTTCAGTGAGAGAGGATGTCATATTAATACAAGTATTTTTCCTGATAGTCATACTCTCACAGCTGCCATCTATTTCTCTTAATAGTAAATTATTGCAGTGCACTATTGCAACTAGTCTTGTTTAAGGATATTAGCTTCTCCACGTGTATATTCCATTTTTCACCAGCTGTTGCTGTATTTTATTTTTATCAGTCAAGAAAAAAAATCCTGTTCAGCAAGACCACTTGGAAAACACTGACTTTGATCTAAGCTGTTTAATAACTTTCAGAGAGATTAAATTATCAGTTAAAAAAAATTGGTGTTATAGAATGACTCTAGATTCATTAAGTTTAATTATTGTATCACTCTAAAATTAGCAAGTTAATGACTTGTTTTACTTCAGGGTTTATGTTTGTGTATTGGATATAATTATTTTTTCCCAAGGTTTTGCCTTTTTATATTTTTATTTCTAGTTTTTTTAGTTTTAATGCAGTGATGAGAGCTTGTCCTAGTTTCTTTTATTTGGTAGAATAAAGCAATGTTTGGAAAGAATTTCCAATGTGAACAAACAACTGTAAAGTTTTTTGTTCTGCCCTGTGATTTCAGTCAGGCCTGTTACCCCTGGTTTTGTAAGGGCTTAGTGGCAAAGGGGGTCAGGGAGAGGTCACTTCACTTTTAAGGGATTTGATAAAAGTTATAACATATTATTTAGCTTTTCTGAGCATCATTTTTCTCATCCAGTTATAAATTAACCTTGTGTTATCATTTTGAAGTTAAATGAGATGGTATGAGACAACATGTATCATGATATCTGGCATATAAATTTGAAATAAGTTAGCTTGTTGCTGTTTTCGAAGTTCTAGATATGGTGAGTCTTTAAATTGCATCCTGACTATCTAACATTAAGATAAAAAACCACTTGTAATCTTACAGTTTATTCTGTTGACAAAAGAAGTATTTTAAAATTTTATACACATGCATACTCTGATGTTATTTTTAAAGTCTGTTTTGTTTTAGTCCTCTGCCTCCCTTTTTTTCTTTCTTTTTTCTTCTTCCTCTTTTTTTTTGCTGTGAAATCTCAAATCTTGAATTCCAGGTCTACATGTGGTCAAGAAGTTAATTATTTCATGCTTCAGGTTCCTTGTCTATAAAATGAAAATAATATGGGGTAGAGTAGTCACGAGGATTAAGCAGAACTATTCATGTAAAGCACTTGTAGGGCTTGGCCCATAGTAACATGCTCATTAGAGATTAACTGGTATTATTTCTTGTCCCTTCATCTTTTCATCAAACCCGTTTGGTTGTACCACAGTGCTGCATGAACTGAAAATTCATACAGGGTAGATTGATGCCACTGTTTGTCGCATCAAAGACCTGTGGTCAACCCTTCACACTGCCCAGCAGTTTCACTCTTTTTCGTTAGTCAGCTTGCTCCAGCAGTTATTTCTCTTCAGACCTCCAGCTCTGCCTTGGGTTCTCTCCCTTGTAGTAAATGATATTGCCTTCTACTTCTCAGAGAAAAGAGAAAGCATCAGGTAGGAACTATGCTTATTTTTTGCCACTAAATCTAGAACTTTACTTGTATTTTCTCCTCTTTTATGTTTTTCTTTTTCCCTCTCTTAGTAGAGGGTGGTGTCCTCTTCTGTCAGAGGCCATGTCTCAACCTGTGCTATAGGTCAATCCCCTTCTACCTTGTCATGAACCTTAAGTATTTTAGGGTTCTGCCTTTCATATTGGATCTTAACCAACATTAAACATGTTCAGGCCACTCACTCAATCCTCAGAATATAATTCCATTAAATTCTCTGGTGAACCCCTGCGCTGTCTCCCGGGATCTCTCATCTGTCATTCATAGCTAAATGTGTCATAAGAAATGTTGACATTTGCCATCTTCCTTTTCTGATCTTTCATACACTTTGAATACATTATAGTTAAGCTTCTATCTCAACTATCATGTTTGGTTTTGCCCTTACTAGTATCACCATGGTATCTGTGCATGTCAGAATACGAAGAGACTGCTAATCCCCATTCTCCTTGATTTTTTTTTTTTTAAAGCAGCATTTGTCATAGTTGGTCATTCCTTCCTTCTTCTAACATGTTTCCTTGATTTCTGTAACAAAGAACTCTCTTTGTATGCCTCCTACCTGCCTTTTTACTGTTTTTAGCCTCTCCTCCTCCAACTACTACTAACTGCCCCCACCATCTCCCCTTAAATAGAGGCATTCTTGAGATTTAGTCCTAGATGTTCTTCTCATGGTATGCGCACTCTTCACCTTCGGGAGCTTCATGTGCTTCTGTGCAGATGATTCCCAAATTATGTTTCTAGCTTCGTTTTCTGAGATTCAGACTCATATATTCATTTGTCTAGTTAATGGAGCCTTCATTCTCTGAAGTACTTCAAACTTGGCACGTCCAAATGAGCTCATAATCACTGTCATTCAGTTGTTCATACTGAAACCTGAGAATTATTCTTTTTTATTTTTTTTATTTTTTGAGACAGTCTTGCTCTTTCGCCCAGGTTGGAGTGCAGTGGCGCTGTCTCGGCTCACTGCAAGCTTTGCCTCCCGGGTTCACACCATTCTCCTGCCTCAGCCTCCCAAAGTGCTGGGATTACAGGCGTGAGCCACCGCGCCCGGCTATATTCTTGTAAGTTTCTTCTTTCTCCCTACATTATCTGTTGCTAGACTCTGCCATTTTCTCTTTATTGTCTATTATTCAACATCAAACCACCTTCATTTCTTTCTTGAAATATTCAGTGTTGCTAGTCTTACAGTGTTCACTGGGCTTTTCTCTGTTTTCCATATTGCTCCCAGGATTACTATTTTAAAGCCTAATCTGATCATGTTACTGCCCTGTTGAAATCCTTACCTCTCATCTTGGAATTCTTTTACATGTTTTCTGTCTGGAAATGTTTCTAGAATTTTTTTTTTCCCCCTTAATGTCACTTGCTCTACTTACCCTTTATGTCTTACCTTATATTTCTGGTAAGCTTTCCCTGACCCACGTACTCTCAGCTGGCTGCAGTTGCTCTCATTGTACCTAGTACTATTCCGTTGCAACATTTATCACAGTCATTAACGACCCAACTGCTCAGTGTGTAGTTTGCCCACTAGACTGTATGAGGATGGAAACAATGTTTGTGTCACTATTACCTCTTTAATACCTACCACAGCTCCTTGTACAAACTAGGCACTTACATATGTGTTTAATGAATTGGTGCAGATGTTATATAGTATTTTTTTTTTAAATAAACTACACTTTTTAAAAATGCTTATTAAAAATAGCTATTTTAGGCCAGGCACAGTGGCTCACACCTGTAATCCCAGCACCTGGGGAGGCCTAGGTGGGTGGATTACTTGAGGCCAGGAGTTTGAGACCAGCCTGTCCAATGTGGTGAAAGCTCGTCTCTACTAAAAACACAAAAAATGTGCCAGGTGTGGTGGTGCATGCCTATGATCCCAGCTACTCGGAGGCTGAGGCAGGAGAATCGCTTGAACTTGGGAGGCAGAGGTTGCAGGAAGCCAAGATCATGCCACTGCACTCCAGCCTAGGTGACAGAGTAAGACTCTGATGCAAAAAAAAAAAAAAAAGGCTATTTTAGATTCAAAAAGAAAGTGTTGATACCTTCATGTTCTACAAGATAAATTTTTAAAATTTTTCATATCCTTCATTTACTTATATTGCCTTTTTATGTGTAGTGTTCTAGGGTTAATTAAAATGTACTTAAAAGTACACTTTTATGTTTTTAATTTTTTTGAGACAGGGTCTTGCTCTGTCGCTCAGGCTGGAGTCCAGTGGCACAATCTCAGCTCACTGCAACCTCCGCCTCCTGGGTTGAAGCGATCCTCCTGCCTCAGCCTTCTGAGTAATTGGGACTACAGGTGCGCACCACCACACCTGGCCAATTTTTGTATTTTTGGTAGAGATGGGGTTTCACCATGTTGGCCAGGCTGGTCTCGAACTCCTGGGCTCAAGTGATCCACCTGCCTTGGCCTCCCAAAGTGTTGGAATTACAGGCGTGAGCCACTGTGCCCAACCAAAAGTACATTTTAAAA